TTATGGTTTTTTAAAGGAGAATAAGAGAGATGTGATGCTAAAGGAGATGAGCTTTTCATTCAATTTCAGTTAATTATAAGCCATTGAATTGAATGCCTTTTGTGGCAGTAATTTGTATAATGGGAGTGAATGCCTGCTATAGACTACTCAATGTATGGTATCATACACAATATATAAGTGTTATATATTTTATAGTATTTTATATTAATATATTTAATTATCCTAATCTAGTATATTATGTGGTGGCATACAATGCGATGGGAAAGGGAGACGCCAGCGATTCAATCGCCATTAAGACTAAAGGGTCAGGTACAATTGCTTTAAATTGCCTAAAAAGTTTAATTAAAATTATAATTAATAGCAGTATAAATTTATTTTAGCTAAAACTATACACGTTCATATGATATTTCATTTAACTAAAAATATATTTAGATCATTTTAATTAATAAAATATTTTTAAAATGTTAATACAGTATAATGTGATGATGTCGTTAGTCCAATTTTGTAACATAAAAAAATAAATCAAATTTACTTTATTGTAAAAATACATATGTATACAAATGTATTAATTATTACAGGTTATTAACAAATAAATATTAACATTAAATGTCATGAGCACAAGAGTTATAAAATTCATTTGATAAAATTGATCATATAAAATTGTTTTAAAATAAAATTAAAGTTTATCATAAATAATCAAACTTGAAATATTTACACAATTATTTTTAATATTTCATCGTTTAGTTCATCACCACGTTTTAATTTATAATCTAGTTAGTAAATTAAAAACAAGGCAAATATTTTAATAATAATTATTGCAGTATTTTGGCATATACATTAGATACAAAATGTATGTGAGTGGTCTTTATGATACAATAAATTATATAAACCGATCTACATTAAACTAAACCATTAGTAATTTATTTTAATTACTAAATCTCTAAAATTAAATATCCATGATTTTCGCCAAGTATATTATCAAATAATTACATTAGATTAACCATTGTATTAAAATATTAATAATTCCAGTTTGTTATGCATACATAATATTATTAATGCCTTTATATTCTAACCCTACATCGTTTCCCTAAACAATTAGCACCTGTACCCCCAAAACATGTGAATGAATTCCTTGTGGTGAACACTACGTGGGCGCACATCCAACCGGACGCCTGGCATTCAAACGGCTGTCCCATCAAAGAGTTTCTCATACGATATCGAGTGACTAAATACGAGACCGAGTGGTCAGAAGTGTCGGCACAGGTCTGGCCCGAAGAGTCCAACATTGAACTGCTGGGGCTGAGCCCCGGGCACTGGTATCAGCTCAACATTTGAAGCGGTGAACGAGGCCGGAGCCGGTGAACAGAACTATCATTTTGCTACGCTTACAGCTCAAGGAGGTATGGATTGGATTTTTTACCTTGTTTATAAAGAATAAAAATATTGACGAGATTCTGCCAAATAAAATACTAATCTAGACAACGTAATTTACCATTACAATTCAGATTGTATTAAAGTAATTATCATAAATTTAATTGGGGGGATTTTGGGAGGCCAAATGTATATAAAATGTAGCTTTGTGTTTCATTTTACATTGCAAATAAAAATATTTTACAGTTGTTATCAAATGCCTATTCCATAACATTAATGTAAATGTTTATATTTTCCCACAATTTTCAGGCACAGTATCGCCGCTATCGGAAAGGGAGCCCCCATTAGGGGAGTTGGAGTCGATCACAATTGTGATACCTGTGATATGTTCGGTGATTGTATTTAAAATTTTATTATTAATCAATCAACAAGAAAAAACATCATGATTATAAAGCAATTAATTATGCATTAAAGCTACCCTTAAGTTATCAAACATAAATCACCATTTCAAAATTTATTCCTACGGTAAGGGAACGGGACCCCAATCTGAGGAGGTCTATGGCCAGACACTAGTGATGGACAGGCCGTCGGCACCCCTACTAACTCAGGGGGACGTCGGGTACGACTGGATTGAGATCGTGTGGACCTTTGCCTCTGAAACTAACCTAACGGTCGCTTTGAGTCAAATCAACGGCTATTATGTTTTCCAAAAGCCATTCATCCGTTTGGATGGAGAGACAGATCCGCATCAAAACCAACGCCTATACCAGTAATGATCTGCTCTGCGGCACATTATGTCAGGTGTGGATTGTATTCTTGTTTCTATGTAATATACTATTATGCATTTAACCCTAGAAGCTTAAACTGGGAGATTAGTCTCCCATTTGCACTTTGAATTTTAATTAAAAATCAACGAAGAGTGCTAGCCGAGAAAAAATCCATGAATGCCTCATAAATTGTTAGTTTTAAAAATTGGTAAAATTATATGTTCATAAATTATATGATTAATTAATTATCATAATTAAATTAAACTTTGGGATACTACTCTCCCAGTTTATGTGTTATGTCACTTTTTCTCTACAGTATAAATAGTGCTAATTTTAATCTACACTTACTGCATAAACTGGGAGACTATTCTCTCAGCATAAACAGCACTAAAGTGTGGGATATTAATCTCCCAGTTTATGCACAAATTGCTGGGAGATTAGTTTCCCAGTTTATTTACAACGTATATTATTATAGTTTAAGCTTTAAGGGTTAAATGTATTATATGTTTGATTGTATATTGTTTACATGATAATTTAAGCAAAAAAAGTTATTAACTAAATTTAGTAAACGACTGTAAATTTATCAAGTTTTGTTTAAATAAATATTAGCTAAATATGTTTATTATATTTTTGGTCTTGAGCAGTTCATTCGTATTTGATTTATTAAAATTTTGAATGTAGCATAATTCATAAATATATTAATATATATATTATTATCATAATCTAGTTTTATATGATGGCATACAATGCAATGGGAAAGGGAGACGCCAGCGAATCAATTGCCATTAAGACTAAAGGATCAGGTACGATTGCTTTAAATTGCCTAAATAATATTATTATAAATTTATTTTAACTAAAACGTTCATGTGATATCAAAAAATATTTAATTTTGCAAAAATTATATTTAAATTATAACATATTATTAAAAACTTAATAAAATGTTTCTCGTGAGTATTTACCCCAAGTGTGTTACCTAGATAATAATTTATATTAACATTATTTTTAAAATATTAATTATTACAGTTTAATAACAAATAAACACTAAAATTTATGAGCACCAGAATTATAAAATTCATTTGATAATTGAGCATATAAATGTTTTAAATTACATTAAAGTTTATAATAAGTGTTAAAACGTTAAATATTACAAAACTAAGATGGAAGATTACTTAAAACAAATCACTTTTTAGTTGACTCCAAACGTAAAACTTAAATAATTAATTATATAAATCTTAGTTTTAAAAGATTAAAAATTACAGTTTGTTGTCAAAATAATTAGTAAAGTATATATGCACCGTAATTATTAATAAAATTTAATTATTTAGCATATAAACTTAAATTATTAGACTTTATATTATTGATATTCAATCTTTTTTAGAATATCACATATACAGATTCACAGTGTGCCATAAATAGGTGGCGCAACGGGCATTAACAAAGTTTAGGTTTGTCAGTTTTAAACAAGAAACACCACGTGAAGGTCAACCTAATAGTTTCTCGCCCATTTTTATAGTGGTTGGCTTTCAGTCTATCCACAAAATGTCATTTAAAACAAAGAATCACAGTAATTTGATTATTAAATCACACTTTAATGAGATTTGTAATATTGTTTGCGATTATCAACAATTTTAATAATATTTGAATCAATCATATTTGATGACCATATCTTCAAGCGTGATCTCAATGTCTTTGCGCAAATACGATTAGTTTTGTCATTTTTAATCGATTTCATTAAAGAAAACAAGGTTCACACACGATGCTATGCGTTAACCACAATTCGAGAAATGCATTAAAGATTTTAAATTTTTCAATACAATTGTTGGAATGCTTTCTCTATTGTTATTTTGAGAATTTTGAATGTTTTTTACAAGAATTAGTTTTCTTTCTTATGTCAGATTCATTCAGTATATCTCCATAGAAAAAGCATTATCACATTGAAATAACATTACTCACTTAGACTTAGCATTGCCCATGTTATTTCTATGCCATAGACTTAACATTGTCCATAGGATTAGCATTACCATAGACTTAGCATAGCCCATGTTATTCCTATGTCATAGACTTAACATTGTCCATAAGATTAGCATTACCATAGACTTAGCATAGCCCATGTTATTCCTATGTCATAGACTTAGCATTGCCCATGTTATTCCTATGCCATAGACTTACCATTTTCCATAGACTTAGCATTGCCCGTGTTATCCCTATGCCATAGACTGAGCATTACCCGTGTTATTCCTATGCCATAGACTTAGCATTGCCCATGTTATCCCTATGCCATAGACTGAGCATTACCCATGTTATTCCTACGCCATAGACTTAGCATTGCCCATGTTAAGTCTATGTCATAGACTTAAGCTGTAATCCCATGTTAACACACCTATCCGGCGAACACACCTATCGTTTCGCTACGCTTACAGCTCAGGGCAGTATGGATTAGATTTTTCACCTTGTTTATAAAAATAAAATAGTATTGTCTTGATCTGCAGCCCAAATGTATATAAAATTTTAATTGATGTTTCATTTAACATATCAAATCAAATGATTTTACAGTAGTTATTACTTTCTTATCCCACCATTTTTAGGCACAGTATCGCCGCTATCGGAAAGGGAGCCCCCATTAGAGGGGTTGGAGTCGATCACAATTGTGATACCTGTGATATGTTCGGTGATTGTGCTCTCAGTTATACTCGCCATCGGACTCATAGTCATCAACAAACGCCGCCCGTTGACCAGTACGGGGCCCGGGGGTGGTGTGGGGACCCCCGGTAGCCGACACCCCAGCGAATCGCAGCAATACTGTCGCGACGATCAACTGCTCAGTTCGGCCTACCATTTGTCTGTGTTGGACAGTCAGCCCCAGGGGGTGGGCATCGGTGGTACCCCTCATAAGGACAGTCGCGAGAATCATTGCTTTCACACGACAACTGTATTGAATGAAAAACAACTGTACTTTCAGTCGCCGTACGCTCTGAGCCGTGTTGTCGACCATAAACTGTGCGCTTTTGATGGCATCGATAGTTCAGATGTGGACGACATGTCGTCTATTAGTGCCGGACACGGACTCCAGCCAACCCGTGAACACGTCTATGAAAAGCCGTTTCCACCCAAATGGGTGTAAGTGTTATGTATTACCGGTAATATTTATGGTTACGCCACATATTATTTTACTGTTGACACAGTTTACATGGGTTTCAAAACGTTTATCTAGTTTTGTGCTTAATTTTTATTAAAATTGATTAATTTTAAAAGTTTTAAATTAAGTTTATTAATTAATAATATTTACAATTTATTTAATTGAAAAGCAAATATGTTTGTATTTTGTGCCAAATATTTATTATGACAATTATTTATTTCTATAACACACTCTAGCTTTCAATTTTGAATCCAGTATGTACATTTATCACGGTATTAAAATTTTATATAAATTATTATAATATTTACTTTATTATTAATATTATTCTTCTTATTAATATAATAATGAATTAAATTAAATTTTTTATAAAGATTTATATATAAAAAAGTGTAAATATTATATCAAAGTTTTCTCTTTTTGTAAACAAATTTTATAAAAAACAATAAATTAAAAGTTTTTCAAATTAAATTTGCAAAATTCATTTTAAATCTAACATTTTGTTAAATTATTACATAATTTATTATTTATATAACTTTAAATAAAGTAATAAATAATAGTTACATTTATATACGGTTAGTTGAAAATTCTATATTTTATTATCTACATAAAAATTTACAGCAAATGGAAAACAAGGCAATTCATTACATTTAATATAGGGTTGAATTGTTTTCAAAACAAGGTGGAAAATTAATCATTTCAAGCAATAATATACAGGTAGACAACAAAAAAGTTAAGTTGTAATACAATATGACACAAACAATAACGAGTGTGTAGTGAATGAACACCAAATAAAATGTGTGAAAATGTGATAAATAGTATCCAAACGTAATGACTGTTATGTTAGTGTCGGCGCTAATGATTGTCAGTCACCGGTAGTACACAATACATATACACATTGTATATACCGATGTATACAATGCTTTGAGAGAGAGAGAGAGAGAAACAAAAATTCTTATGTGAATAAAAAATAATAATCTTAAGAATAGTTTTCTATGAGTTATAAAATAGCTTCACCGGGAAAATAGCGGGGAGTGACTAATGATAATGACTATAATCGATCCTGCTCCTCTAAGATAGACTACCACTTTAATCTCTCTCTCTCTCTCTCTCTCTCTCTCTCTGCATTTTTTGTTTAAATTAGGCACATACTTTTTTAATCAAGTGTGTAATGTATTGAAGTATGCTTGTTTTTTATTACGTCAAACATTAATTAAACGTGATTTATAGGATAAAACTAGAGTTTTGTATTTTGCATATTATTTAAGCACAGATAACGTTTCGTTAGTTTAATTATAAATTTATTATTAAAATATACAAAATTTAAACTACTCTTAATAACTACTATTTATTAACTACTAAAAATAGACAATTAAATAAAACATTATACTAACAAAGTTAAACGTAAGTTAAACCTACAAGATTATAGTTATTGGCCATATTTTAACTGACCATGATCATTTTGTTGATAACACACTAGTGAACACATACCAGCCGTTTAGAGCACTGGTTATTAGTCACGGATGGAAACATATTAAACCATATGATTAAAAACTCAAATATTAATTATGAACAGATTGTCTCAGAGAGAGAGAGAGAGAGAGAGAGAGAGAGATTAAAGTGGTAGTCTATCTGAGAGGAGCAAGATCGATTATAGTCATTATCATCAGTCACTC